AGGATTGTAATCAATAAGCCTTAACAGATTTAAAGCAGTATATTTCTGTTGTGAATATGCAATGGCTTGGCGCTTCATTCTTTGTTGCGTGTCATATACACACACCACCTCTGGCAGAGCTGTACAGAGTGAAGGCCAAACTTCAGTTCACACCCCTGTAAGTATGCTCACAAAAACAAGTTAGCACGTGGGTGCTGACAAAAAGCCTAGGTCAGCACAGTTATACAGAGAGCTGAAATAGACCCTCTGCATGGGCACTTCACAGACTTTCAGAGGTAAAACGAGTCTACAATGATTTTTATAGGGTAGTGTCTGCCTGAATTGAAGAAATTTGGGAAAAGTATCCATTTAGGAATGCAAAGAGCATGTGTGGGCACATAAATATACAGCACGCTGGTTGAACTAGAAACTTTGCAGGTCCTGTACAGATGTGTTTCTCTAAGAGTTGATGTTTTGAGAAGGGCCAGTATGGCATTTCCTTGTAAACTGGCTCATTTTGACCCATGTGTGTACATGCGTCAGGGTTTTATTACCTGTTTCATGCAGTATTTGACAGGTCAAACTGAAAATAGTTGGCGAAGGCCACGAAACGTGAAAGGAAAATATTGCTGCTGGGCAGTAGCTCACTTCTCAGCCAGGGAGAGCACTCTGCTCTTCCCAAGTCCATGCTAGCGGGGAGCTGTTGTCTTGCTCTGGCAGAAGTCTTTTTGTGTGAGACGAAGCTCCTGTTCCTGCTGTGCTGAGCAGGCAGCTGGAGCTGGGGAGCCAGGACCTGCAGCTTAGCAGAGCTGGGCAGCGGGTCCTGTGCAGGCACTGACTCTGAGATCCTGCAGAGATGAGCACGATACACAATGGCTATAGTTGTATTCAGGAGTCCTCAGGGCAGCGGAGAATTGCTGCTTCCTACGGCCACTTAACAGAAAGCCGAAATGCAGCAGGCAGTTCACTATCTGCAGTAGCATCTGAATTCAGAACAGCAGGAGCCTGTGTCATCCTGCTGAGACGGGCTCTTGCTCCTGGGAGAGGCAAAGCTCTGCTAAGGCATAGGTAAAGGCACGTGCTGGGCCTTTCATTGACATCCTCTGGTCTTGAAGCACAGAGTACTGGTATTTTCCTAGCTCTTTAACTACCAGCTAACGAGATGAGAATTCTGAAGTGGCAAACTGTAACATGCAGGTTGTCAGCAACAGAAACGTGCTTTTTAGCCTCATTCTACTGGGGGTGAATTCGTTCTTTGTTGCCAGGAAATGTACTCTGTACCCAGTCCAGCACACCTGCAGTTCACTGCACAGGCACTGATGACAAACATGGTCTTCTCTGTTTTTTTTAAGAAAGCACTAAGACAATGTTTGGACATCCCATCTCCTCTCTAAATGGGATGCTAGGCAGAAACTGTTACAGTTGTTTGTCAAAGGGTTATTTTTCTCTAGTCGTCGTCTTCCACTGCTGTTTTTTTTGCAAAAGAAAAGCCTCCATGTTTTATCGTTCACTGGTGCACAAATGCACATCTGGCACAACAGCAGTCCTCTCACTCAGCTGCCTCTGGGTTGCATCTCTCATTCTTTGAAAGTTATGCTTCAATCTAGCAAGCACCAAGTACATTCCTTCACTGAGGATTCCAGGTCACAAATTTCTGTAGCATGAGCTTTGCTTAAGGATATTTGCAAGGGCTATCTGTTTTTTGCAGCAAAGTATAGATTGACTTTTCAAGAAAAGGCTTGTATTAAATATTTCTAGAGCTTGTTTACGCAAGTAATTATAAGATAAGATGATCACATTTCATTTGCATTTGCTAGTGCTGCTGTCTTCTGTTTTTTTTAGTATTATCAGAAAGACAAGTGATAGCCCATCAATACAAACAAAATGTTAATACTAAGCTGTCTCACTAAATACTAAATTCCAGAAGGAAAAGCACTACAATAGCCAACTTCAATCAGGGAACGTTTTGTAAGGAACAGATAAAGGACAATCTTTACCCGATACAACAGATGTAATGCCGATATAAATTTCCCCAGCAACTTTGTTCGAGTCGCAGATTTTATAAGAGGAGCGACAATAGAGAACGGCTTAACAGCCAAGAGAGACTAAAAATAATGAGAAATAAAATACTCGGTTAATTTGTTCAATGATGAATTAGCAAGGTGGTCCTTGCCTCCCCAAATCAGTGGGGTTGACCCAATAAGCACTGCGGAGATTTTGTTATTTTTGTTAATGATTCCCCCTCCTCCTTTTTCATATCCTCGCCAATGTCACTGCCCTAATGAAGTTGGCATATAGTCACAGGACACAGCAGAGCACAGAATCTTACTCACGTTAATCCCATTTAATAGCTGAAGATTTAATTCCATTTCAGCATCATCAGATGGCTAACCTAATGGGATTTGCTTATGCTAGGGGCCGAGTGATGTGACAGGATTTCTTTCTGCTGCTTCTTGTGACTGTCACAAATTGCAGCAAGCAATTTTACAGTGTGTGCTTCTGTTAACATCGCCTCAGCTCCTCTCTGCTCTCCCACCCTTCCGTGAACACGGTCACGCTTCTGAACTGCTGCTGCCGCTTCCCCAGCCACAGCA